ATTAATTACATTATTAACATAGATAATGCGTAGGTGATCTCCCTTTAACTTTCTCGCACGTTACATTTTTACAAATAGAATTACGCTAAATGAATGCAAACGATTTGTTTAATAGAGTTGAAAATTAGTTAATTAAACATCTAATTAAGTCACATATTATGTCACAATGCGTTGTATTAAGTCTTGACATACGTGCTAAGTTTGAAAGAAATCTGTCCGGTAGAATTGCTCTGTTTTGAGAAATCGGAAATAGCGCAAAGTACTACTTCCGGTAACAGGAAATAACTTAAACAACTCAAATAATAATTTGACAGTTTTAGGGAAATAAGATCTTTTACATACGTATACATTTTCGTCCACCTAATTGAAACGGTACTCAAATTATCGCTATTTTTTAAATCAGTCAAGTACCACTTCTGGTAATCGGATGTCCCTCAAAAATTGGAAAAAAATCAAGTATAAGATTTTAGTATACGTATTTACCCCACATTCAAAATGTTACATCCATCGTTTCATCTTTCTAAGGAAATTACATGAAAAGTGGCTTAGGTTGCTGAGGATCAGGTTTGAAGATGTTGGGGGTTCTGGGAGATGGATGTAACTTGTAAGCTAGGGGTGGCAGCTGGAGCGGGGTTTATTTTCCTTGAAAGGGAGGGGTGTTGATGAATGTGGGGAGGGGTGGTGGTTCCATTATGAGCTTTTGAAGAATTTTTGTGTGTTTTAGTCTCACAATTTTAACGCTAAAGTAACCCCATAATAAGCACGTGATTTGGTGATTAAGAGGGATTTTGTTGTGCGGGGATGGGGAGTGTGTGCAGTGGCGTAGGCAGGGGGGTGGTGGGGGGGGGGTTAGGGGGAGGTCATAACCCCCCCCCATAGACCCCTCGGTATATATATATATATATATATATATATATATATATATATATATATATATATATATATATATATATATATATATATATATATATATAAAGTATGAGGGGGGTGCAAATCGAAAGTTTGAGGGGGGTGCAAATCGAAAGTTAGGGGGGTGCAAATCGAAAGTTTGTCCCCGGGTAAAAATTGGACCCCCCCCCTTGAGACGATCCTCGCTACGCCACTGAGTGTGTGTATGTGGGGATCAAAAGTTATACATAGGCTTATTTACTTATTTATAATTTTAAGAACGTACAATTCTGTATTGTTTTACTCGACTTTTTGAAATTATAAGCGTAAAAATAAAAAAAAAAAAATAAACGACCCTATACGAACCTTTTCTCTATCCAACATCACTTGCTATATATTACGAGCTGACCCGCGGCGTAGCATACGCCGCCCATAGCTGTTTTATTATCTGCTTATCAGCACATCATAATTTGTGAATTCGACACTACCATCCCCTAGCCAAGTGAAAGCAGCCGTTTACAGACAAAGAAAATATCAAGCAGAAATTGTTACCTCACCTTCGTTTCAAAACTAAATTATCTGCCCCTAATAGCCATCACCAATTCAGCCCGGCTCTATGATTGTAAATACTCGTCGTGAACCAAAGCTCACCAGATTGGTGGGGGTGATATGCCTGGAGAGCGGGAGAGTAACAGCGTGCGTCTCTACGTCTTGTACCGCATGGCCCCCACGAAGAGAATTATCCTAATATATAAAACCCCACGTTCGCACATCTCTCTCTCTCTCTCTCTCTCTCTGTCCGCAAAATATTTTCGCCGGACATCACGTCAGAATCGGCAGCGATATATGAAGAACTTTTTACGGACTTTTGTTGAAAATAATATGTTAGATGTTTTAAATGTATAAGCAAAATTTTATTTAAAGAAGAAAAATAAAAAATAAAGGCGTATTCGAATATAGAGAAACAGTATTATTTATGCAACCGGAAAAGTATATAAACTTGGGACAAGAACGCATTTAACAATGACGTCGCTTATTGTTTACACTAAAACACTAAAACAAGAGCACGAAACTGATGACGTCATCTTCCGAGTTTAGAATTTTAAAAAATGAACTATTTCATTCAAATATGATTTAGAGCTAGATCTATGTACGCTATGAAATGTATATGTTACGGCCAAAGCCCGAAATCGGCCAATGCTAGGATTGGCCGGCCAATCCGCACATTGGCCAATATCGCCTCCCATAGGTCGGTCAAAGTCCGAAACTTTGCTTGATTTCGGCCTTTGGCCGGCCAATCCGCAGACTGGTCATGGTGGACCGGCCAAAGTCTTAATTAGAAGATCATCTGGCTAGGGACGACCGGCCAAAGCTCGAATTAGAAGATCATGAGCAGATTTTGTTTTTTTTTATGCCGTAAGGGTCATGAAATTAAGTCTTTATTGATTATTAATTAAAGTAAATGACAGAAACATTCAAATTTTTTATTGTACTATAGTCTCAATCTATCAATATCATAATTTGATTCAACAAGTTGAACTTTTATGGCATTTAGAATTACATACTTACTTACTTACTTAATCCTCATCACCAGGTTTTGCCAGTAGCCTGTACTTCTTCTTCCATCTCCCTCCTCCATGTTCCCAGTAGTCTTCCTCTATTTCTCTTTCCGGGTGGGTTCCACTTCAGCGCCATGTTGGGGAGTCTAGAATTACATAGCAGCTTGTTATTTTTACACTTGCAGCGATTTGTTATGCACTTAGTTGTGCAATTGCAGCGAGTGTAGCCTTGGCCCCCAGTCAATGATTGTGAAGATGCGATGGTTCGTAGTGATTTTTCCTCAGTGCCAACTGACGACAATAAGAGCAGTTTTTCGTGAAGAATTGAAAACTCACTTTTAGCATACAGTTGTTTTAGAACACCATGTGCCGTTCCTAATTTGTAGAAACCGCCCTCGACGCTCATGACAACTGCAATCACGCTTCGGGGATCACCGTGACCTCTGTCAACACCTGGAAAACGGATGCGTACATTGTCACCCACTTCACCATCTTTAAATTTTGTATTTGATGTTTTAAGCATCTTAGCACCTTGAGTTTGCAAGCCAGTATGAGCTGCTGACCTGTGTTCCATGATGTCTTGTTTGTTGTGACACAATCTGCAGGTAATGTTCCCTCCGTACCCTTCGTCTGCTTCATTGGGTATTCCACAAATAGCATGGACATCGTTGCCACAGGATCCAAAAGGATGAGCTGCACTACAATGTTTTTCACAAACTATACAGAATCTGTAGGCCACATAATTGTCATGCAACTGGTCTGGACGTTCCGCCACGGCAGTAGATGTGTTAGCTGAGGATGTCGTTGCACTTATGGCAACCTCCATTTCTTGTTCAATGTTCTCAAGATCTTCCTCAGTAACTATTTATCGAGAGCCCATATATGGAAACTAACATGGATTTACATTTTTTTTCTTTTGACAGCCATCTGGTATGTCTGTCTCATGGTCTGACGGCCCTTTTGATCCATGTCGCCTTGCATATAGATTGCTATACAAACAAGAGCTAAACAATACGTTACTCTCTATGAAAACGCACCCAGAATAATGAAAATGCGATCACAACTTAGTCTAGATAGAACATTGGCCAGGACATACCGGCCAGTGCGCGCATTGGCCGGCCAATGTACAAAATACGCTGTCAAGTTTAAGCGCTTCGGACTTTGGCCAGTACGTCCCGGCCCGTGCGCGCATTGGCCGGCCAATGTACGAAATACGATCTTAGTGCAAAGTTCTTCGGGCTTTGACCAAGAGAGCCGGCCAATGCGCGGATTGGCCGGCCAATCCTAGCATTGGCCGCACTTCGGGCTTTGACCGTAACATATACAATATGATTTTCTCGGCCTAAACTTAAAAAAAATTATTTTATCTATTTGGATTCTAGATCTAGAGATTCTAGATCTAGATATTGATCTAGATGTTCTAGATCATCTAGATCTAGATGATCTATAAAGCTAAGTTGTCGGGTGCCCGATAGGGCACTTCCCGGCGCCGCAGGCGCTTCAAATTTGGCAGGATCTTGCCTTGGGGCGACAGAACACGGGGACCGGTTGGCCGAAAAGTCTACGATGAGGGGGGTCAAAACTGACCTCGACTGACCGGCGCCTTATATTGGCGAATTAATTAAGCATTCAAATTCTCAATGTTTTCGAAACCCTAAGCGAAGCTGGGCAGCATGCCTAGTATATATATAGAGAGAGATCTATATAAGGGAACCAGTCGTGTTTGTGTCAAAGTAAAGTTAGTTTCTCTTTCAAATCTAGCTGTCCATTGGGCAGATGAAACAGCCTATAGTTTATCTGTTTCTGTGACATCGGCATATGAAGGAATCATGTGGTGAGCAATATGCTAAACCGCATTAGCTTTCCCAAATGGAATCAGGTACCCATCAGCGCTGGGGGGGGGGGGGGGGTTGGTGTCAGTAACTTTTTACGAACTCAAGGCCGGGATCCGAACTCGTAACTTCTGGGTCAGCAGTCGTATGCTCTATCATAATGCAATTCACGCAGTTAAATGTCTCCTGTATTTGTTGAGGTGTTGATGGTTATTGGTAGTGTGGAAGATGGTATGTATTAGCGATGATTGGAAATAAGGTTTGGTCTGTGGCGTAGCCAGGATCGTCTCAAAGGGGGGGGGGTGTTCCAATTTTTACCCGGGGACAAACTTTCGATTTGCACCCCCCTCATACTTTTTATATATACCGAGGGGTCTATGGGGGGGGGTTATGACCCCCTAACCTCCCCCCCCACCCCTACGCCACTGGGTTTGGTAGTTGGATACAAATACATAGAATTAACATGTATCAAGTAATCGTTAACATATGGCATTTCAACATGAATGTTTTTTATTATTCTAAGGAATACTTCAGAATATGTAAGATGGAGCATAATGGTTCAGGGTCAAACTGAGATCATATCAACAAAGGAATACTTACTATCATTGCAAGTAGCTCGCTAAAATTAGACATCTACAAAAGAAACTTTTGGATCTCAAAGACAAATGCGTTTTTAAAACTATGTATTTAGTTTCTACATACTATAGCAAAAAACCAATGAAAAAAAAATCATGAACAAACTTCGCACACACATCACTTGCAAATGCTCACACATACATACATATTTTAATAACATAAATATTCATATTATTATATCTACAACAAAGTAGTCAAAGTAGAAAAAAATTTTACACCAACAATCTGCTACTATTCAATAATTACAATGATCAAACATGTTCAGATGAGCAAACAACAACAGTGACCCACTCTGTGACATCCCATCATCAGTGACCCACTCTGTGACATCCCATCATCAGTGACCCAATCTGTGACATCCCATCATCAGTGACCCAATCTGTGACATCCCATCATCAGTGACCCAATCTGTGACATCCCATCATCAGTGACCCAATCTGTGACATCCCATCATCAGTGACCCACTCTGTGACATCCCATCATCAGTGACCCACTCTGTGACATCCCATCATCAGTGACCCACTCTGTGACATCCCATCATCAGTGACCCACTCTGTGACATCCCATCATCAGTGACCCACTCTGTGACATCCCATCAACAGTGACCCACTCTGTGACATCCCATCATCAGTGACCCACTCTGTGACATCCCATCATCAGTGACCCACTCTGTGACATCCCATCATCATAAAACACAACATAAAGGATAAATTCTCACCAGAAAATGTGTTGAGGACAGTCAGGAAAAGTAAAGTATTTATAAATGGTATCACTAATTAATTGGGACAGTGGTTGTATCATCCACACTTGATGATGATGTGACACCAACTTTTAACAACTAATTTACAGACAAGACAATGTTTAATTTAGATATAATAAAAAATGGAATAGGGGTGTTGATACCAAAAGTAGAAAGCAAATAGGTTTAAAAGGAGTTTGGGGGAAGGGGTGCCAACCTTGAGCATTTCACTGGTTGACACCCAACCCAGTAACTCCACTAATTCATCCAAATTTTTTTACTCTCTAACTTTGTCATGTAAATAATAATATAAGCCATAATATTTAGTTGACTATCCTAAAATAAAAAACCATTACAGTTTTAAAAAGTTAACAAAGCTGTACACACTTACAGGGACCTCAAATTGTCCTCTGTATATAGTCATTGATTGTAAAGTATTCAAAATTGCACATACCAATGTATAAATAATTATTGTCATTTCAATCATTCAACTAAAATTTAAAATGCTTTCTTAGTTCGCGCGTCATTACATTTTCATAATATTAAGTATTGATTTTAATTTCATGATTTAAAAACTGGAAGCATATATCATTAAGCTCTTTAGTTTTCAACTCTCTAATATTCATGAGGTCTTAAAAGAGTTAAAGATACCACTTTAGACCTAGTGATCCATTGGGCAGATGAAATAGAGTACATATTTTAGTTGATCTTGGCATATGAAGGGAAGGTGTGGTCAGCACTTTGCCTAGCAGCCTTTACTTACATAAGGTCTTTAATTGAGAAGTAATTTATTTTCCAGATTATGTTTACTTTAGCTGAAGATATAATTTTTAAAAATAAAATATAAAGCTAATGTGACTGACATCACAGAATAGTTGCTGGTCTGTTTAGTACAGGTATTCATAATTTCTGTTGTTTCTGGGTTATACATAACTTCTCCTTCTGAAAAATATAGGCATATAAAGTTGAATGTGATGTTTATGCATTAAGTTTCTAATAAACCAGATCAGACTTAATGTGTATGTTTAAAAAATAAAATATTAGAAGTAAAAAGCAGCCAAACAAGATTGGGGCAGTTTTAATTTTAGCACTCCTCAAGTTTAGAGTGAATTTACAATTAGTGCTAGGGTTAGCTACACTGAGTTTACAATTAGGTTAGTATATCTAAAGGTTAATTAATTTCAACTATTTTATACTAATTATAGCCACTACACCAGGTTTTGATGAATGGTACCTAAACATTTTCTCTTTAAACATTGTGGACTTTATTTTACTAGACCTATTATAAAAAGAAATCAGAAAAACTGCGTTTTAGAAAACAAATTAGTTGCCTAAAACCAGAATAACTGACCTAAGGTAAAATAAACAGAAGGACTGCTGGCCCCATAACCAGCATAACTGTACCCCATCACCCTCAGGGAGTAGATGATCCCAGGCTCGATGCCATGGATGATTCCGTACGTCTGCTTCTCATCCATTGTTGTGATGTTGGCAGTGCGGATGTCTTCAGTAGAAGGCCACCACCACACCTTCAAACAATTATCACCAAATGATCATTTAAAAAAAAATCTTTAAAATAAAATCGATCATTGGACACCTGTTTTGTATTTATCTGCAACATTTTTAAAATTCAGAGTGACAGTTAAGTAAAAACAATGGTTTAAAAATAAATCCACTAGTTTTGGATATCATTATTGTTTATGCAAATATCATCATGATTTTTTCCTGTTAGCACCATAGACACATGGGCAGATGAAGTAGAGTTTATCTGTTTCAATGACCTTGGCATGGGATAGTGTGGTCAGCACTATGCCCAATTGCCTTTATTGAGTGAGACAGTTACCCATCAGAGCTTGGTGACACATAGTTTTTCTACAAACTCGAGACCTGGATCTGAATCCGATACTTTTGACCTATGAGTCGTAAGCTCTACCATGCAACCACACTGTCCCATTTATGCAAATATGCTAAATCTAATTTTAGTCCAGCATCGTAATTACAAACATTGAATTAAGTTAGGCCTACTTTATGCTAAATTACTCTTCTTTGTCTTTTAGAAATTAATAATTAAAGATTTTTTTTTTTACTAAATGAAAACAACAATCAACAATCAAGATTAACAATATTAAAATTATAGAACTGAAGAAGTAAAGTTGGGGAGTGTAGTCTGCACATGGGGCACTCTATAAAGTGACAACAATGAGGCTAATTTTTATAAATTCTGCTGACCATGTACCCCAAGATGGTTTCTTCTCCAGGCAAGTTGGACACTCCATTCCACATGACAAAGACAGAACTTGTTCTATGTGAGTGGACTTGCACATACTCAGGATAACTGGCCAAAGCTGGACATTAAACATAGAACAGTCAATATGGTATGTTAAGTACAGATGCTATAATTAGAATGGTCAAAATGGTATGTTAAGTACAGATGCTATAATTAGAATGGTCAATATGGTATGTTAAGTACAGATGCTATAATTAGAACAGTCAATATGGTATGTTAAGTACAGATGCTATAATTAGAATGGTCAATTTGGTATGTTAAGTACAGGTGCTATAATTAGAACAGTCAATATGGTATGTAAAGTACAGATGCTATAATTAGAACAGTCAATATGGTATGTTAAGTACAGATGCTATAATTAGAACAGTCAATATGGTATGTTAAGTACAGGTGCTATAATTAGAACAGTCAATATGGTATGTTAAGTACAGATGCTATAATTAGAACAGTCAATATGGTATGTTAAGTACAGATGCTATAATTAGAACAGTCAATATGGTATGTTAAGTACAGGTGCTATAATTAGAATGGTCAATATGGTATGTTAAGTACAGGTGTAGAACAGTCAATATGGTATGTTAAGTACAGATGCTATAATTAGAACAGTCAATATGGTATGGTTTGCTTATTTCAATGTACGGTAGATCACTCCAGCTTTATTTTGTTTTGCAAATACCATTAATAATATAATTATTCATTATATCTAAATTAGAGTTAGGGGTGAGATGTTTTGGTTTAGGGCTAGGGATCAACATAAGCACACTGTTTATTTTGTTGCCAGCCCATTGACTGAAATAATCATGTTACTTTTTTTATCTTCCATTGAACTAATTATGGACTGCCGATATGTTAAGTACAGTTGCTAAAATAAGAACAGTGAATATGGTATGCTACTGTCAGGCCCCTACTGTTAGATATTATGTTCATACAACTCCTTTTGTAGGCCTATTCATAAAATATATGTAACGGTATTGAAACTTAACCTGCCAACAATCTATACCTAAACATTTATAATAGAAGAGTAATAAAAACATTAGTTTTTTTTTAAATGTATTGATTATTCATGAAATGTATATTGGGTTAGGTGTTAATTTTTATATTACAACCAATTCTAATAAAAGAAAATTAAGTGAAATAACTAAGTAGCCACATTTGAAAAAGTGATCAATGTTAATTAAAGAATTTTGAATTAGAAATGACAACTTTATGAGAAATCTCTCTCTATATAAATTAAAGTATGAGTGTGTTTTTGTCCTATATGCATTACTACATCTTTGATCCGATCGCCATGAAACTTTGCGGAGTTGATGAAAATACTTCAGGGGAGGTTTCTGCAGAAAAAAGAATTTTAGTTTTGCAAGGGGCGGCGCCCCTACCAGGCGCAATTTGGCGTCCTAGTTTTCCTATGAGTGCTGTGGAGCATACGTTTGATTTAAACATTGCGATAGACTATGGATAAGATGGGGCATTATGATGAATCAGACACACCACTGGCACTCCATCATGGTGGGATTTGGCGCCCTAGGCTATCCTGTGAGCGCTATGGTGCATACGCTTGTTTTAAAATTAAAAAAAAAAACTATGGCTATGATGGGCTACTATAATTGTTCACTAAAACAAATAATGCATGGCCAGCGCAGCAGGCTTCCCCATGAGCATTATGGCACCTACGTTCTTTTTAAAAAGTGAAATAGGCTCTGAATATGATGGGTTACAATGGTCCTTCACTAAATCAAATCAGGCGTAGCCTCCGGGCACCCCAGCAGGGTGCTTTTTGTCCCTCCAGTCTATCCTGAAAGCACTATGGTGCATACATTTCTTTTAAAGAGTGCAATAGTCTATTGATACGATTAGATATTATTGTCTTTCACTACATTAAATCAAGAGTGTATGCCTGCCCCCCGGCAGGGTGCTATTTGGCGCCAAGGGCTATCCTGTGAGCACTATGGCACTTACATTCTTTTTAAAAAGCACTCTACAATATTGACATGTTGGCACATGACATTTGGTGATTAAACCAAATAATCATCCGTACGCGGCACACATGCAGTAGTGGAACCGGTGGCTCCCGAGAGCGCCCCTCTACGTCCATGACACCTGGGTGGTCACCAAAGTGTGTTCTACCTTACTATTACTGAGAGTGATTAACATGTATTCAACGCTTTCATACAGCATGCCCTGGGGTATGCTGGGTGGTGGTGTAGACAAACCCATGCCCCAACAAATATGATCCAAGAAATATAGCACATGCACTGTTTACATTTAAATAAATCAGTGTTAGAAAACAAGGTCACACGTCTAAGAATATACCTACTAAGGATTGTTAAGGAAATCATGAAATCCTCTTAAATATTGTTCAGACTTTCATCTTAGACAGCGGCAACACATGGGGATGACCACACTAGTAAAATTATAATTAATATCCAGATTTCAAATTGGTTTTAACTCACGGGCATCAAATGTTGAACCATAGGTGTCTTCACTCAGTGTCCCCATGCCTGCAGTAGTAAACACCTGGACATTGAACCAGTAGTAGCTGTCAGGTTGTAGACCAATTATAATCACAGACCCGCAGTCTTCAGAGCAATACATGTTGGCTGAGTCTAGACTTGCTCCATCAACATCCTCCCAGTAGTTGATCTAAAAACAAGAATCAGTGAAACATATGTAACAATTTTTTACAATATTTAAATATGAATCATGACTTGCTCCATCAACATCCTCCCAGTAGTTGATCTAAAAACAAGAAACATCTGTTACAAAGTTTTCAAAAAACCTTTTGGAACAAGAATAAAAATTTCTTAAAACAGTATTTTTCAAAATTATTTTTGGAAAGTATTATAGTAGAGAAAATATTTAAATAGACAGAAAAAGTTACAAATGTACATGTTTCTACTACTGCAATGAGAAGATAATTATTGACACTGTTAAGCCTAAATGTTATATTGACCAACACCAAAATATAACGACTAAAACCAAAGCCAAAAGATAATGCCAAACCCCATATCCTATTACTTTTCCTCGAACAAATTCTCTTATTAACGGGACTGGTGTCCATTCCAGCACAACAGCAGTGGCATTGTAAGATTCAGCATTTAGGTTTGTTGCAACTCCCACTGGCACTGAAAAATACAGCCCATTTGATTGGCTAAAAATAATACACACAATCTAATTGGCTGATAGATAAACCACTTTTATTGATAGATGATATTACATATCAATGTAAAATATTTGTTCTTTTTAGTTATACAGGAACAAGGAAAACAAAAGAGTAAAAAAAATAATTAATTAGATAAAGACTAATTAGGACTTACTATCTCCTTGTGACATAATCACCACTACAGAAGAATTTGGTCCATGGCCTAAGTTGTTGAATGCACTAATTTTTACGTCGTACGCCAGGTAATAGTTTTCGGCACCCACTAATGCAGAAAAGGTGTTTGTATGCCCCAAAACCTCAGCCTAATAAGTTAGTGAATATAGAATTAAAAACACAAAATGTTTACAGAGCAGGCTATACCAAATTAATTTTCATAACTTTTAGTAACATTTATTAAAGAAATGTTTTTTTGGTAAATGATTTTACTTACAGTACTCCACAAAGATTCCGTTCCTGTAGAATTTTTTCTGTAATATAGTTTATAGCCAATACCTTCACCTGTAAGATCTTCTTCATTCAGTTGCTATGGTAGAATATAGATAACAAAAACATTAATATATTAGTTTACATTTTCACAAACTCTTTCATATATGGTAGACATGGATGAAAGTTGAACTAAATTCACATTTTTTGTGACCTAACAAAAATTCTTTTAATGTATCTAAACTTGAAAAGGTTGGACAAAATAGAAATTTACTTGATTAAAAAAAAACAATTGAAATATGTTAAGTTTACATTTGAAAGTAATAGGAGATTTATCTTTTAAAAGAATATATTTAGGTTAGGGTTGTTGTATTGTCCAATCACTTAATAACTAAATCCTTTTCAATGGGATATCTGTTTTATATTTGAATTACCTCCCATTCTATAGCCAATGTACCAACAGGTCCCCATCCTTCGTATATTTTATTGACTGCAACAACTGGTGCTGAGTCCGGTATCTTGTATATAGCTGGGAACATAAGTTGAAACAGATAATTTTATTTAAAAAACAATAAAACTTGATGAATAAGTATAGGCTTAAATATCATCATCATCTATTTCCATGGATGCCCATGACAGTTAGGTCAGCACCATGCTCAGCCATCTATTGTGTCTCTATTGTTGAGTGGACTCTGCTGCCATGTCCATGCTAAAGCATTAGTGAGCTCTACCATCCAGCCATGAAATCCCTTCTTACATTTTATATATATATATATATATATATATATATATATATATATATATATATATATATATATATATATATATATATATATATATATATATATCTAACTTAAACACCCACCAGCTCATATTGATAAAAACCTAGATTTACAAAAAACCTATACATAGTAGGAAGAAAACTGCCTGAATCTAGACTACTCACTGGAAGGTAGAGAAGCTGGGCCAGGTCCAAACCTATTGTAGGCAACAACCCTGAACCTATATGATGAGCCAGGTTTTAAACCTATCACATGGTATAAACAACGGTCATCTCTGTTGTGATCTATTGCTCCCAGAAGTGGAATATCTAAATCAAGGGTAAACAAATTCAAAGCTGATTTACCATTGAAAGCAATAAAAGAGTGGAGGTGCCTGCCAAGATTAGAAAAAATAGTAAGCAACCTGCATCTACAGAGAAATATAATAAATGGATGAACTCAGCCATAAGACTAAAGAAACAATTACAAATAACAAAATAATTATTAAACATTTTATTAAACATTTGAATAGATTAGTTTTATTTGACCCCACTGTTATTAAAATGAATCCATTTTTCTAGGCATATAAGCAAAAATATTATTTGTCATTGATCCATTTAATGTTTTAGCAATGTGCATGTATTTAATATTTTCTTCATGTTCATTTGTTGACAGATGCAAAAGAATAAAAACTTTGCTAACAATAAAAAAAGTTAAGACATTTTATAAAAATAAGTAATTATAATAAAACAATTCGATCAAATAAAGTTATGGTATGTGTTAATGTTTACTTTTATGGATCTAGAATCTATACCGATGACGGAAGGACTGACACACTACCACCAGATTATTTGAAGATTCTCTTTTTCAAAATCTTTTAAGTCCACTTTAAAAAAAAAAGAATTCATAGGCCTATAGATTTTTTAGTTAAATTTTACAAACTTTTGTTCTCAAAGTTATACTTTAAAGTTAACCTTTTAATGAGAAAAAACTGAAAGTCTTAAATTTTTTAGTTTGGGCAAAATCAATCTAAAGTGTCAGCCAGTTTTGCAAGTGGATTTCTTCTTTAGCCTCTAGTTCTGTAACCTATCAGAACATTTACAAAATGGTAATTTGCTCATAACATTTATTATTACAGAAGAACTATAGCTGAACAGACAATACACACCAAGAAAATGTCGCTTTTTTTTTTTTTTACCTTTTTCAAGTACCCGCCACTGTGTGTTCACCACTGTGTTGTATTCTATGTGAAATTTAGATATCTCTGCCATATTGTTAGGGCCCATCACCCATTTCAGTGTCACATTGTCACCTTTGACCTCTGCAACAACACCACCACACTCTCCTGGTGGACCTGACAAGGGAGACAAATAGAAAACATTAATGTTGTACGATGGTCAAGTCTAGTGTCTAAGTAAAGTCTTAAACACTCTGTTTTTAAAATAAACGACCAATTAATGTTAAACTACTGTCACTAAAACTGCTTTTAAGATTCAGAAAGATAAATTCAAATATTATTAGAGTATTAATGATGAGATTTTCAGAGACTAATTTAAAAAAAAAATGGTAGCAGGTGATTGACAATGTGGTTCCCTATATACACTTTTATTTATATGAATAAGGGAAGGTTACTTTTATAAATGGGCAAACATTTTATTGGTCTATATAAGGGGAGAGAACCCTCTATTTATTCTTAACCAATCTAATATTTTGGTTTGAATCATTTTTTTTATTGATGACCAGTGGCTACTTATATGATGATTATTTTTATCTTAAAATATCATATAGATTTTATATTAACAAATTCTTCTTGAGGACTTTATTTATGATTAAATAAATAAATGGAAAATAAACCAGATATCACTCACATCAAAACAATTGCCATTAAAATAAGGGGGAAAACTTAGTATTAGAATGCATAAGATTTGTTTTGCTAACCAAAAACGGTTAAGTATGCAGTGACCCTCACAACTTCATCAACAGACACAGCAGAGCATCCATAGAGTCCAGTGTGATAAACCTGGGCATTTGTGATGTACAAACCAGAGACTTCACCACTCGAGGCCTATGACAATTAATACAAATAGGAAATGTAAGCGGAGATGGGTAAAAGAATAATTGCATTAAGATAATGCAAAACTTGTGGGATTAATAATAAATATCTTTCAGATATTTGCATGCACATAAGTCATGTTTTCATGTTGTAAGTAAACTTTAATAAATTCAATAAAAAATTTGTATTATTTATGTCAGAGAAAAACCCACTTTATGAATAGGTCAAATTTATTTATGATATAAAGGTGCTTTTGGCCTGATACTGATGAATGTGTGAACTATGGTATACATTTTAAATACCAATGTAAAACCTCTAAAAATTGTCTATCATGACATTGATGATATGTAAAAACAAATGTAAAAAAAAAAAAAATAAACAAAAAAAAATCATTGAAATGCTAATAAACTTATACATCATTAAGTGATCAAGTAAGTTTAACAGCATCAAGGGTAGTAAAAATAAAACTAGGTGGTTTAGCATACATGAAATAAATAGACCAGCATTATCAATATTAAAATGTTACTATTTTAAATCTGTAGCTTTTTATGTATTTCTAATTAAATGCCTACCATTAAAACAAGGTATTCATTTGTTTATATGCCCTACCATTAAAGCAATGATTGATCCTGTATATAAAGATGCTATGATAAAACTGAAACTAACCATGGTGAAGTGAGGCTCAATATCATAATCAATAGGCCTCCCATTCAAGTCCCAGACATAGACGACTTCTTTCCTTTTGCTGTCATAGGAAGCCTGACATGCCAGAAATGTTGTGGCATTGACATCAACTCTAGTGTTGACTGGGATGACACTCATAACTATTTGTGCTAGCAACAATGACAATTGATTGGGCACTTTAGAAAACTATAAAGGAGAACTAGAACAAAAATTTAAAAACTGCTATCCATTCCTCTGTCAAAGAATAAGTTTTTGGTAAATATTTTGAGAGTGATCTTAAACACCCCAAGCCTTGAGAATTTTTAAGGTAAAAATTGTAGCATCCACAAACATTTTTTTAAAAATGAGGATAGACTAGCTTCTATTGTATATGAGGGCTATATATAATGAAAGTACAAAAAAAAAACTTCCTGTAGGATTCAGTTATATGATGTCACATCCAGGCAAAGCCCAAAACTTATATTTTAACAAGCTTTACCTTTACTTTAATTATTTTTATAAATTTACTCTCAAATAAAGTAACTATTTACATACCAACAACAGTTAGCTTTCCTGAACTGCTGTCAGATCCTAAATTATTTACAGCTGTACACTGATAGGATCCCTGATCACTTGTCTGTAACTCTTTTATTTGTAAGTTTCCATTGGAAAGCTGAACCCATCGGCCATCTTGGTGAATTATAAAATTTAACATAGCTGGTTATTACAGGGCGGATTAAAACAAAATCTGCTTTGTGTCTAAAACCTAACCCACTCAATGTGCCTGGTTAGTTGATCACTAAGCTGAAGTAAGTGAGGATAGCACCACACAACCAACCTCACTATTTCAACCAGTCTCGGGGAAATATTTGCTAGTACTAACTTAATCAAAGAATACACTCAAAGTCTTATAAATCATAAACAGGTTTAAAATTTTAAACACTTATTTACTTTCTCAGGTTGAAAGCAAAAACCTGGATTGGAACAAAATATTTAACTTGATAGTTATGTTGATACATTTTTTACAGCCAAAAATTTCCTAACTTTGTTGACACCAAGGTAAGGTGAAGGTTTTATGTAGTAGTGTCCTACTCACCTGGACTTGTGGCCAGCTGAAGGCCATCTTTCTCCCAGGTGATGGTGGCGGAAGGTGCTGCTTCAGGCTGGCACTCCAGCATCACTGACCCCCCTACTGTGGCCATCTGGGATGGCTTCATGGGATTCCTTGCAAATGTTGGCTTGAATGCTGCATTAAAAAATTTCTAATTTATCAACTGGATAAAAATGCACTAAATTAATTTTTCATGAACAGCTATTTGAAAATATTGAAGTATAATGACTAAAGTAAGTCAAAAGGTTCTGTTACAATTAATTTTTTTAAAGGAGAGTGCTCTTTCCATAAAAGCAGTTAACAGTGCACATTAAATATAATGTATTTATTTCAGTGACTTGTAATTGACCACAGTTGTCTGATATGAGTCAACTCAGCTCTGATTGGTACCTGTGTGATGGCGCTAGTTTAGGTTAGAGGTCAAGCAGAAGTTAGATGAAACAAAGTATAGTTAAATCTAGTTAAACAGACCAATGGAAATACAGGAGCTGACTGGTCACGTGGGATGGTCAGCTGACCACTGAAGCATGGGTCGGCAGTTGGTGATAGTTAGCGCTAGGGTAAAGATGAAAAGTTAGAATGTAGATAGTGTTAGGGATGGTCATGGGAGTGTGCAGTTAGTAGTAATAGTAAACAGTATATAGTAGGCCTATAGACTAGTTAGGTAGAAGTAGGAACTTGATTTGTGTAAATAAAGAACATTATATCTTGAATTGGACTTGTGTGTGGTGGTTTTGCAAAACTATACCAGGCCGGTTTCTTATTCTCTTCTCCACCCTCACAACCAGTTATGAGTAAACTCAGTTTTGATAGGCAATTGACTATAACCTCTGGTGAATGTTAAGTCGAGACAGCTCTGATAAATACCTGACAGTAACTAATTTAAAAAAAAAATTTACCCAGCACACGAAGTTGAGCAGTGCTGAAAGCCGTCCCATGAATGTTAGTAGCTCTACACTGATACATTCCCTGGTGTTGTGAAGGGTCAGCATTGAAAATAGTCAAAGTGCTTGAAACTATCTAAACAACACAAAAAAATATTTAAATTTTAATATGGTTATTTAATTAGTCTTCCAATTTTTTTTTTGAATATTTAGTTTATTTACTAAGAATTAACATGTATCTCAAAAATTAACTTATGACTTCATATATTCCTAGCTAGTGTATATAGAAAATTTGATCTATATAAAATACAAATTGTGGTTTAAATCTTGATATTTAATAGAATCACTGTGTGGTTTTCTAATTACTGCATTACTAGCTATACCTTATATGCTGCTAATTATATTTTAATATCCCACATGATTCCGAATGCATTGTCATATAAAACAACTTTTTTTTACTTACTTGTAAATCCCCTTCTATGCTGGACAGCATCTGGCCATTCTTGTACCAGGTGTAAACAGGAGTAGGGACCCCCATGCCATCACATTGCCAAGTCAGCTGACTGCCAATGTCTATGTGCTGGTCTTTTAGTGTGGAGGTGAAGAAAGGCTTGGCTATCAGAAACAAAGTAAAGTTGTAGCTATAGGCCTATTGTAAAGTTTATACGTTTAAATCAAACACATTGAAATATGAAGGGAAGGTGTGGTAGGCATCTTGCCCAGTGGCCTTTACTTTCCCTAACATGAGTTAGGTACCCAAAAGAGCTGGATAGACTCTGGGACTTTCCACTAACTTGAACCCGGATTCAAACTAGAGACTTTTGAGTTAGCATATAAAATAGAGTTTACTTATTTTTCTGATTCTGGTATATAAATTGTGTAGTCAGCACTATATCAGACCCCCCCCCCCATCCATCGTGATTCCCTTATTTAAGTCAACTACACTTTAACATGGGAGTCAGACCTCCAGCCTTAAACTATGTCGATACCACTGACACTTTAATAAGCTAGTTACAGGATATAATTATGAAAGATGGAATACCTTGTATAGCTAAGACAAAAGATTTCTCAGCCACACCACTGCTGCCCCTCTCTACCCTACAGGTGTAGTTCCCAGCATCCTCTAGTTGAGCATCAGGAAAAGTTATGACACGTCCATGGTCAGATATCACTGCTTTGTTTGGTAATGGGCCATTGTCTTTTTTCCAGGAGTAATACAAAGGTAGTCTTTAAAAAAAACAACAACACATTTTAACTATAAACATTGTAAAGCAAAGAAAAAAAATATCAGAATTTAATATTTAAGAATATTAGTTATCTTTATTTTCATACTACTCTAAACAATGTACTAGTAAAAATGTTATTTACAATAACTTGTAGATTAATAATAAACATCAATGAGTTTTACATACTTTCCATAAGCAAAGCATTCTATTGTTAGTACTTCCCCTCTTAGTGATGGGACAGGAAAGGCTACAGGAAAATCATCATGAATTTCTGGACCATATTCACTTGGTGCTGTTTGTTTAGATATTATCAAAGGTTCAGATTAATTAAGATTTTATACATTAAAACAGTGACATTCTTTAGCTTTAAAACTAAAAAAAAATAATTTTATAAAAAAATAACAGAAGATTGTTATTAAAATTAATTAAATTAACAAAATTATTCAAGAGATTTTTATTTAAAGGCATAGTAAAACAAACAAAAGTAAAAGTATTTTCGGATGTTATAACCTACATAAACAGACAATTGTATGCTCATATATTATATATGGATTGATAATGGTAAGCTTATATAAGGATTGTTAGCTCATATAGTGGCAAATGACGGTAAGCTCATCAAGGGGTTGATGGTAAGCGCAAATAGGGAGGGATAATGGTAGCGTCATAAAGAGGCAGGGTAAGTTTGATTGGTGTTTTTTTTCTTCAAATTATCAAGAGATATCACACATTTGCCATGTCTACTATACTGACCCACAAGACACTTAAATGTTTTTAGTTTAGTCCATAAAATAAATAAAGAATTTGATTCTACTATCCTATCTGCTGACATTCATGATATAAACGTAAACTGAAAATCAGGTCAAGTAAACTGTGTGGATAGCTATCAAGAATTTCTTACATCCTCCGGCGATGGTCAAACCAATGCCTAGGCTTGTTCTACTAGGAGGCTGATGTGATGCCAGCTGTTGACTGACCATTGGTACCAGAGTTACAAAGCAATGATAAGATCCTGACAGAGTAAGAAACAACTTAATTTTAAATATGCAACTGCAGCTAGTTTAAAAAAAAAGAAAAATATATTATTATTTAACTTTAAATGATATGATAATTAATCTTCGTTTAGTGACACCAATCAAATAATAACATTAACTGTAATGACTGTTGTTATGTTGTGTCTTGTTAGTTATTGTTGTGTCCCTTGTATTATAGTCTCAGCTGTCTTGTATGGAGTGCTGGAGTTAAAATGTAGAAGTCTCTAGTTTGTCTGACTGTTATGTTTTGTTAGTTATTGTTGTGTCCCTTGTATTAATAAAGTAGTGAAGTTAAAATGTAGAAGTATCTGTATGTATTTTTAGTGTGATGAATGTAACAACTGTTATAAAATACTTTATCAAAACTAGTCATCTATTAAATGACTAAGACAAAGATATACAAGAAAATCCTTTCCAAACAAGTTTTAAAAAATCAGGTACAATACCTGCATCTTGTGCTGAAGTTTCTGACAAGTATAATTTTCCATTCATTGACACAAACAGATGTGGGTGTAGATCTGTCCTTAAAAAGTTTGGCCCTCCATCTTCCTTATACCAATTTATGCTAATAGCTATGCATTTAGAAACATAAAAGAAATTACAATTTAAAATGTCATAATTTTACACTGGGAATATAATTTAACCCTACATTTAGCAACGTACAACATCAACAATGTGTTTAGTACCTGGATTATACAAAGGAGGAGAGCATGGAATTTCTATGCCATTGTACATGTGGGCAGTTACAGAACTTGGCTGAACATTGGAGAACTCTTGTAGATCTGGTGTTTAAAAAAGAATTTTCAACTTCATTTAAAAATAATATAATAAAAATTTTAAAAAATTTTACCCTTTAAATGAGATGTGTCAATATGACAATTTAGTTACTAATACTAATAATAAAAAATCATTTAAACTTTATCCAGTTGTCAATTCGTATTATTTAAGAAACGCCATTATAGCAGAGAAACTTAGATAAAAAGGCAAGGATAGGTTTATACTAGGAGTAATGCATTGATTGGTTAAAAATCATAGACTAGAATAAAATAAAATCCAGAATTACATTACACTGAAATATATTGTGTTTTTTTTTGGAAAAATATTACATTAATTTCTATAGGTAGAAATAAATACAAAATTTAACTTGCATCCAAAATGAATTTGTACAGGTTCTGATAAAACAGTTCCCAGTGAGTTTGAAGCAGCACAGTAGTATGTTCCGTCGTCTAATGCCTCTACTGGATCAGAGATGAAAAGTTTTCCATTTGAGATGATGTGGTGGCTGTCAGAGACGAGCATATCTGTGGTGCCAGTATCAGAAACCTTGTACCAGTTGTAGGATGGGCGAGGGTTGCTAAAACAAATTACATTAAAAAAAATTTTTAATGTATTTTGTACCAGTTGTAGGATGGACAAGGATTGCTAAAACAATTATGACATTAAATTTTTATATTTATATACATTTTGTATCAGTGGTAGGCAGGGTGAGGATTGCTAATACATGTAGGCTACAAAATTTAATTTTATATTTATACGAAATAGTTGCCAGCTGTAGGATGGGCAAGAGTTGCTAGTAATACACATTCAAAATGTAATCTTAAAATTATATAAAAAATGTTATGGCTGGTAACATAATTTAACAAATATAAGTGTGAAATATGAAGTATTAGCAGGAGAGCAGGACTATTGCAGTAATGTTCCTGTTTTATTGATTTTAAATAAAAAATAGGCCTATTCATTCATTTATTTATAATTTATTGTGTGTTTTTTTAGTAAGTACATATAGCCTAGATCTATTCTAAGAATAGTGAATGAGAGAAACTTAAAAGACTGGAAGGTGACCATTGAATTGATAGTATAAGTATTAGATCTAGATCTAGTAATAGTATAGAGCAGGGGTCTCCAAACTACGGCCCGTGAGGTCATCTCATCCGGCCCGCGATCTTTTTGTCCACGGAAAAAAAAGTTTGATTGGTGATGGTTGAGGAGCTTTGCCCAGAAAAATCAAAGACATACCTTGCCCTCGAACTGAAATTTGATAATAAATGCGTCCCTCGGACTGAAAAGTTTGGAAACCCCTGGTATAGTGTAGCCATAGGTCATTGATTCTAGATCTAGGTCAAACTCAAAGTGATACTGTTCATTGCGCTAGTGACCAGTAAGGGAGCAGAAAAATTTCTGATTCTTTCTCATGGCCTACGCGAAAGATGATTAAAAATGATAATTTCCTGATAAATTACTGACCTAACTGCAACACATTCTAATTCAACGTTGTCTGTAGTCCCAGCTACGATAACCGTCTTAGGCTGAATAATAATTTTTGGCCCGTATTGTACATCGTTTGGGTTTGTGATGTTTGTGCCGTACACTGAAAACAGAATTGAATAAAGTAGGCCTATCCATCACAAGGTAGACACTTTTTTTTAAAAATACTGCTGTTTCTTTTTATTTAGATCTAGATCTAGATCTATATCTACATTCTAGATCTATGTTCTAGATCTATTTTAAAAAACTGAAGAAAAAAAAACAATTTGAATTTACTATGGTCTCTATCTTGTTGAAGAAGTCTGTAAACTTCATTCCTGGAGATTTTACATATGTATGCCAGATTGGCTTCGGGCTTTGCCGTACTTGCCTTGAAGGTGTTGAATGAAGCTATAAAAAAAATTTTTTTTTTTTAGCAATTTCAATGTTGTACTACAGTGTAAGATTTTTTGTACTGTCATTATCAACTTATTTTTAAAACAAAATCTTTTTGGAATTGGGGGTGGGGAGAAATGAGGGGTTTCAGTACTTTTCATTAATTTCGGAGAGGCGATGCCCGGGTGGCTAACTGGGATCTGTTGGTTGGGCATCTGCACATCTATTTTTTTCAACGGTCAAACTGCAGCAGGCGCATCCACCCAGAGCACCCAGGGTAAGCCCGTGAGCATTACGGCATTGTTTTAAAGAGTTTTAATATGCAAACAATCGATGAAAACACAGTAACGTTAACGGTCAATATGGCTTAAACGTGACTATGTTATTAATAGCACTTCTATAGAAGCCGTGCAGTAAGAAAATTAAATGTGTCTTGTTATACCGTAATTTGTAATTACACAACATAGAAATGGCCACGAAAATAAAGCTGCAGGCAGTTAGATTCAGTTACTAGAATGCGAACTCTTTAATTTCTTCACAGGCTGGAGTTTCTACTTTAAAAAAATAATAATTTTATCCTGAAAAGGCATCATTGTATCTAAAACGTTGAACTTATTGGAATCGTACAAGCTCCTGCGCAGAGATATGAAATTTGACATAGCTGAGTCTGTAATACATAGTATGCCTATTTTAATTTTATAAGCTGTAATACAATTTATGAATAAATTGAAAAATACCAACTTGAATGTGCTAACGTGATAATATTTCCATTTTCGAAGTTGTCTGTATAGCCACTATCAATCCAGTTTTTACTCATAGATATGTTCCCAGTAGCGCCCCCTTCCCAGATCACAGAGTTATCTTCAACTACTCCACTCGTCCACCATTGGTTAAGCCTGAAAGAGAAAATGAAAAAAAAAATGTTTTAATTAAGCTAATATGAAGATCATATATAGTAAAAGCTCACTAAACTTGCGAACAATACAGGGGTTCTGAGAAAATTGAGCAATCGGAAAACTGCGCAACGGAAAACTGCGCAATCAGAAAACGTGCCAATACAAAATAATTATACTACTATGCTCTAATTTTTTCATCTTTCGAGGAAATAAGTTTTATTATTTATTAATGTTTATAAATGCTCGATTTAAGAAAACAAAAATGCCCTTGCGCACTTTTTGTGCAAATTTTTCCGTTGCGTAGTTTTCCGTCACCCTACTATAGATGAATTATAAAACATGCTTTAAAGAAAGCAAGTTTGTCATCTTCACAGACGTTAATGGCGATAGAACAGTATTCAGCACAACAATGGCTTAATTGGTGATTAATTTTGACTGGCCGTAATGCATATGTAAACGTGTTATTATTCCTTTAGAAAAGCACGAAAATTTAAAGGGGATATTTTAAAAAAACCAAAACATTACACATTTTTACATTTTTAATCTGCGCTCAAGATGCTGAGACACACACACACAAAAAACGGACAAAAGCAGAACTATATTGGGGAACTGCCAAGAACATTTAGAGATGCGGGCAAAAGTGGAAAGAGCTTTCTGACCCATGTGTCTTGGGCACTAAAGGGGAAAAATGATGATCATTGTGTGTTCTACAACTATATTCACCGTGGAGCATTTGGCTTTTGGAACTGAGTGATGGTTTTTTTTTACGCAGAATTATTTATGTTAGTAGCATTATTTAAAATTTTAACTATCATAAATTAATACAGGTGTTCTGAAAAATTAATAACGAAAAAAACAAAATTACGAACCTATTTTTTTCATGTTTTTTTAGCCACTCTGAGATAAAGTTGAACTCCTGATCTGTGTTGATGCTGACAAGATATGATCCGTAAGTCTATGACAGATAATCGATTAATTAATATTCTTTAATGACTGTTCTCCTTATGGCCAAGTATTCAAACAATCATCCGTGATATTGAACTCTGTGTTTCATGATATCTTAAAGAAAATACTTTAATGTAGTTGGCGCATATTTTCAAAAAGTGTTTCTTTTAGGCATCTCTTCAGAGGTGCACCAACACCGAAGCATGTCTACCGCCCCTTCCCCGAACAAAAAAGAATTTGCGTAGAAATATATACTTTTAGCAGTGTCCGTCCCGATATCCTACGAATGTTTCAAGTGCCCTCCTCATCCACCCTCGTAGAAAAAAGTCTGAATGAAACACTGCTCCGATGAGTAAGATTATGTTATGTATCACCTGTAAGACTGTATTAACAAGCTGAATAGGCCTACATCACTGCATGTGATGTATACACGAGCTTCATGTGCAGTTCTAGTGAGACTTTTCTCTATGCACCCAGGGAACTTACACTATTTGTAAGAAATTGTAATAAATCTGTATAGAAGGCCCCTTCTCCACCTAAACTACTTAACATTCGCTGTCGATTGTATGAAACGGTGGAGGACATGTGGCTTTTCAACGGTGACTAATTCATTGAAATCACCCAACAAAACTTCCACAACTTCAACTTGCTGAAATAATAATTAAACTACCACAAATATGTCTTTAATGAAAATCTCAATTCATTCAAAACATCGCACGCGCACGAGACTTTGAATACGGTTGGGGTCCCTTAACTTCTAAGGTTAATTTTGAGTATTAAAGTAAAGCATTTTATTTTGCCGATATTACTAATTGAATAACAAATATGAATCTGATAAACAGTCCTACGTGATAATAGTTTTAAATTTTACTCTTTAAAATTTCAGATATTCATATTAGTCGGCTACTTTAAAAAAAAATAATTATAATTGTGTGCACATATGGTTAAATACTTTGAAATTACTTTAATCCCAAAATTTATATCCTAGATACGCTCATCAGATTTTTTTTCTAAAACTCTAAAAGCGCTAGGTGCAGGGGAATTCGTGTCGTCATAAGTTAGTCACTAATCCTTTCTTAAGTCAGACTTTATCGTCTTGAGTCAAATAGACAAGAGCCGAGGCAACTGATGAAAACTGTGTTTTCATTTTAATTCACGTTTGTTTGGCAAAGATAACGTTTGAAGATCGAATTTGTGTTTAGAGCGCAATAGTTCAAAAGACAAAAAAAAAAAAGATTTCATTTAAAAAATTCTCTAAAATTGTTGTTTTAAGAACTGTAGATATTTGAACTGTGTAACAGCATTATTTATTTCCAGCTTTTCTTCACATACACACAAGAATTATAGCAAATGTGAGGCACCCCCACCATAATAATATACACCTAGCTTCCCTACTTGTCAGACTATGAGAATTGGTATTGATGTATGGCAAATACGATCACAAAAGCTCGCACTCGATACATGTCAGAGTAAATTTAAAAAAAACATAGAAAACTTTTTTTAATAACAAGCGTTTATGTAATAATGCACTAAAAAGAAGAAAATAAGTTATACACTACTATTTAAGAAAAGCGAGGTCCCTTAAATATCTGTTGGATACGTTTACTAATATTTAGGAAGAGACCCACGCTTTTCTTTGTAGTTATTTAAATAGTAGTGTATAATTTATTTTCTATTTTCTATTACAAAAACGCTTGTTATTAAAACTTGTTTATGGATTTTGATTCAGTGCTTTAAATTTTAAAAATGTACAATAAAGTTGCATGACTAAAAATCATTGCGCACCTATTGAACATGATAACCCGTGTATAATGGACGAGACAGCCTACTAATTTGGACATAATTTTAATTAATTCATAAAAAATTACGCTTCCAATTAAGTCAAATTTCAATTTAGATTGCATTTTCTTCATGTCTTGACCCACGTGCCAAATTTGAACCGAATTTATCATAAGTGCCCGTAATTTCGCTCGGACGTTTCTCTGTTTGTCTATAGTCAGTCGTCAGTCTGTCTAGATCGAAACGCTCGAGCAAAATTTCGGGTGTTTCGATCTAAGCAGGGAAAGCAAGTTAAATAAAAGCTTGTAAAAATACATGACATACGTTCTTAAATTAAAAAAACAAATAGGCCGATTGAGGTCACCTAGGGATCACACAACTAGCCTGTGAATATACGGGATAAGCATTATAACCCTATATATACAAACACAATAAGTCTTCACACAGGACGGTGTGTTTTAGCGGTAGAGAGCTGCACTGCTAACACGAAAGTCTCGAGTTCGGCTCCGGGTTAAAGTCAGTAGAAGGTCCCTGAGCAAACCCAGCTTAGGCTACTTCACTCCTTTTTATCTAACCGATCTCAACGCGTGTTTCACCTTAATACCATCTCTTCACAGAAATATGTTAATATAGGGGTTCCACAGGGCTCAATCTTAGGTCCTTTACTTTTTTCTTTATACATTAATGATCTTCCATTACATATTGACGCTGGTCAGTGCGAGATGTTCGCTGATGATACTTCTTTGCATGTCTTTGCAGACAGTGCTGAGTCACTCAGTTACAAACTTCAAACATGTGCCAATCAGCTTGCTTCTTGGACAAAATTTAACAAAATGAAACTTCACCCCGATAAAACCAAGTCAATGTTTATTACAACTCATCAGAAACGCCTTCGTCTTCCATCCACCGCATTAAACATTACTATAGACAATTCAAACATTGAACATGTAGACAGTTACAAATGCCTAGGAATGTTTATAGATCACAACCTCACTTGGTCTGACCATATTCATTTTCTAAGAATGTCCTTATTAAAGACAACCTTTCAATTAGCAAGGATAAAAAACTTTCTCAAGTATAGGAGCAGGCTGGTTTTTTATGAGGCTTTTATTCAATCCAGGTTGGATTATGCTTCTGTAGTGTGGAGCGGCAGCTTTATAACTAAGCAGCGTCCTCTTCTTTCTTTACAAAAAAGGGCTATTAAACTGGTTACTGGCTTGTCTAGTAGTCTGGATTCTTTTCTTACAACCAAAATACTTCCATTAAATAAAAAGATAATATATACTAAATCAATTTTCTTATATAAAATATTCCACGAAACAGCCCCCTCTTACTTATCCGATCTATTTTCTTTTAACATAAAATTAAATCGTCGTCTTAATTTACCATTCCCTTATTCAACCTTTTTCCAAAAACATAGCTTCGCCTACTCTGGTTCTAATTTGTGGAACAATCTTCCTAATAAAATAAAGCTATCTAGATCTGAAAATATATTCAAATCTAAACTAAAACTGAAATTATTTAATGACCTAACTGACTCATTGTAACATTTCTCATTCATCTATTATATTCTCTTTTTTATCTCATTATGTATGATAGCTATGTACCATTGTTTCTTTATTCCACATTTTTAGTGCTATGTGTTACTGCTATGTGTTATTGAAGTGTTGTATTTGTTTAAACGGCCAATGTGAAAAAAGGCCTTTGTGCCTACAATTGTAACCGTTGTTTGAATAAATTTGAATAAATTTGAATAAATTTGAATAAATTTAAATTTGATGGGTATCTAATTCTTACTATGGAAATCAAAGGCGGCTGGACATAGGGCTGACCACATTATCCGTTCATATGATGCGGTCAAGAAACATATGAACTTTATCTGCTCAATGGATCGTTAGGTCTGCAGATGAATCATTACTTTAATATCACATGGTACATGCCATTAAACCCTTTGTAAATACACGAAAAGCCCCCTCAGCCTATGATAAAACTCACCCGACAAGTCCTTTTAGCCTCTGTATATTGTAATGGTGGATAATAAATAAAATTATAGCAGCTCTCTGTAAATTCCACCCATCCATGAGGGCAACCTGAAACACATCGATGTGGAAAAAAAAGAGAGCTGAACAAAAATAGAACTCTCAAATTATTTTTTAAATAACGGATAGTATACATAAAGTTGTTTAATTTTTTCCCCACATTTTAATACACTTATGGAAAAAAGTAAACAATTCGGTTTGGAAAAAAAAATAAAAGTATGATTCTAATTTACATTTCAATAGCTGGGTTTATGTTCCGCTCGTTTTCGAATTAAAATAGAAATAAATATGTAATACGCTATTTGCAAAAACAGTTCACGAGTTTGTAATTCAATCCAGATTTTAAAAGTTTTCCATATATAAGCACGTTTATGTTTTTATGTTTATGTTTTCAAAAACTATTTGAAAAAAGAATGAAAATACTTTATTTCATTAATTCGAAAATATTTTATAAAAGTTTATTAAATTAATGCTTTACCTGTTACAGTGATAGTTGTATTCACAAGTACAATTGCAGCTAAAACTACGTTATAGAACGTGGATCCCATTTGAAGGATCAAAAGAAATACGTGTTGGCTTCGCTTGCACCAAACTTTAAAACAGTACAAAATTTCAGGCACCGAAAAAGAAAGGCCAAGACTGAATTGTATTTTTTTTTTTTAAAAAGCAGGTAGTTGTTTTTATAAATCAAGTAATAAAAAATAATCTGATTAAAACTCCCCTTCCCCCGCCCCAAAACCGTTCTTTCTATCCCCCAACCCCAACATATCCCGGTAAAGCAACTAATCACTATATAAAAACTAACGTCCTTTGGGTTGTATATCAAAATAAATTTGGCCGAGTAGGCGGCACGGAGCTTCACGCGACGTCTCGCAAAGGTCGTTTATAAACAGGTTACCCAGATAAAACTAACCTCCCCTGAATAACCATTTGGCTAACAAGGGAGACAACTTGGGAATTAAGAGAACAAATTATTTATTGTGTTTGCAGATTATTGTAAGCTCGTCAAGTGGTCATCCCTATTCTCCTAATATCAAAACCTGCTGTGGGTTTCATGGTACAACAGTGGACTTACCATCACTGTATGAGTGCTTTTCCTTTAAGCTCCTATTATTTCCCCTGCGCGGGGGCAAACGGTGGCTTTGGGATGATTCTAGGCGCCTAGTTTGGATATGAACATAAATTTGTCTTGATAACAGATGCATAGGCGGTTGGGGTGGGAGCTAGTTTGGGAAGCGTGATGAAGTAGGGTTAGTAAGCAAAGTCCAAACCTTACGGTCTATGGGGCAAGTAAAATAGAGTTCACCTGTTTCCGTGACCTCGGCTTTACACCCAGCTGTCTTTACTTTCCCTAACGTGAGTTAGGTACCCATATAACGTGAGTTAGGTACCCATAAGAGCTGGGTAGACTTAGGGACGGTCTACTGACTTGAACGCGAATTCGAACTCGAGACTTACGGGTTAGCAGTCTAGCGCTTAACCGCTTGGCCACTCCGTCCCCTGAAGTAGGGTTAGAAGACCTAATCCAACAAGCCGACAAAATTATAGTTCCTCACGTAAAACTACAGATATTTTCACATTACTCTCCTTCCACTATAGATGTTGTACAGTTTGAAAATTATCAAATATATTAAAAAAACGTGCTATCTTAAAATATTTGAGGATTATAAAAAAATAAACATCTATACTGTTATTATGGCTTGGGGGGTCATCCATAAATGACGTCACGCTTTTTTTGACGATTTTTACCTCCCGCCCTCCCCTCCGTCACACGTCGTCACAAAAAGCCAGACCCCCCCCCCCTAAAATGACGTCACACCTCAACCTACAACCCCCCTCAAAATTGCAGTTGAATTTTTAAAAAACATCAATATTTTTCCAAAATCTTGTCTAAACTATTACAATTTATTAAAACAGTTATCTAAAACGCGAAATAACGTCTAAAATTCGTTTTCTAACATTGCTTTTTTATAATGAAAAAATGTGACGTCGCAACATCTGACCCCCCCCCCCTCCCCCTCATCACACATCGTCACAAAATTAAGGACCCCCCTCCCCCCTACGAGTGTGACGTCATTTATGGATGACCCCTTGATAGTTTAATAGAACATATTTGGGTAACATTAGAAATCCAATCACAACACCTGGGCGGTAATATGAGTAGAGCCAGATGTTGACCATGTATCAGAGCTTCCTCTCTCCACACAGCTGATGGACCCAAGGGACAGGACGTTACCTATGCAGATTAGATTATTAGAAACATATATTTATCTAAACTTACATATATATAAGTACACATAGCACGTACACGTTCACATAATCATGCGCATACATAGACACATTCAAATGTACGGGCACGTGCAAATTCACGTATACCGTATACATATACTATATACTATATACGCTTATGTATATATATATATATATATATATATATATATATATATATATATATATATATATATATATATACATACATATTTATATATATTTCCTTGTCTAGTTAAAAATAGTTTTATCGACAAATTCCGGCTACGTATGGTCGACATATTATTTACAGCACATTTTACCATAATTATTGAAGTGGGTTTTTTTTTAAAATGTCATACTTTTATTGGCCTATATAACGCTGTTGGGTCACTGCTATTAAAATTTTTAATATTCAATATAGTTGTAAAACAGCTGTAAAATGTTATCACGTGGTAATTTGACTTTATTATTATTGACAACATTTTTAAAAAATTACATTGTCAGTGACGCAGATTCCACGACAGTGAAATTAATAAATATTTATTTATAACTATACGCGTTACAGAAGGGCAGATATGCGAATCGTCGAATAAAACTGTCGCTATGATTTATACTGAAGTAATATTAATTTTATCACCGTTGACATGTACGTTCGCAAAATAATTAACTTTACACAAGTGAGCCAATCTTATTAGCATTTTATTATTTTATTTAACAATTTGCATTTTACTGCGGTTGTTTAGAAGCGTAGCGAGGGGTGGGGGCGGGTAGGGTACATATGTCCCCGGGCGCCGACCTTAGGGGGCGCCAAAATGGGTTGTAAAAACAAATTAAAATATCATTTTAGCTGCATTTTTGCATTATAAATATAGAAAAAAAAATATATGGGGGGGGGGGTGCAAATAGAAAGTTTGATGGGGGGGGGGGGGGGGGGGGAGAGTGCAACTTGAAAGTTTGGGGGGGGGGGGGGGGTGCAAATTAAAAGTTTTAGGGGAGGGGCAGCAATTTGAAAATTGAAAGGTTGTTCCCGAGGGGGCGCCAAATTGAAATTTTATCCCCGGGCGCCGGGAAGGGTCGCTACGCCTCTGCTGTTGTTTAATTATTTTTTTACATAACTATGGTCATGTTTGCTATGTCTGTGGTTTAACAAGAGAAAAATGTGTATTGTACAACTGATGGACGTAGACCTACATTTACAGGAAAGACGTGCCTACTAACACTATTATGGCATGGCCTAACTGTAGAGAGCTAGACTACTCCGAGCCTCTAAAATCCCGAGTTCGAATGTGGGTTCAAAAATCAGTAGAGAAAAAAAAGGTGGCTGGGCATATGCTGAGGTCGCTGAAGTAGAGGAACTCTACTTCATATGTCGTGGACACGAACGGGAAAAATTATAACTGACACTCTGATGAGCCACTAATTTGTTGCACTGACCCTGCTAGATGTACCGAGCCAATAAACCACAAATAATTTTCTTTTTTTTTAAAATTCTAAAACCTAAAATCGTTTGAATAATTTAAAAAAATGTGATAACGATTTCATAACTTTTGAAAGTGTTATACTGCAAGCAGTGCCGGCGCCAGGTAATTTAGAGTCCTAGGCTAAACGTATCAAAACGCCCCCCCCCCCCTTACACCGATATAAATACATAAATAAATAAAAAAATAAAAAAAAAAATAAAAAAATAAAATAAATAAATAAATAAATATATATATATATATATATATATATATATATATATATATATATATATATATATATATATATATATATATATATATATATATATATATATATATATGTGACCTAGGCTAGTTGCATCTTTCCTGTTCGCAACGCCCAATGTGACCTTCCCCGAGTCTATCCTGCCCGACAACGCCAATTGTAACGAGTTGAACCACTCATGCTACACAACATCGACTACAGTAGAAAGACTCGAAGATGCAGGTTCGCTATTGATCCTTTTATTACATGAATCAAGAAATGCTTCAATATAACACAATGAATCAACAGAAATGTTTCACAATAATAGTCTGAATCAACTGACCCCCTAACAGTCCTCACTAGGCTTCATATAACTGAATCCACATGTCTATTGTCCTTCTTAACACAATATAACCAACTTGAGTATGTCACACAGACTGACTGATCTAAAGCAAGCGACGACGACGGAAGAGAACGAGTTCAGTCGTCCCCTCCTATTTATGCCTTGTATCCGTACTCGTCTCCGTACTTGTATCCCTCCGTAATCGATACTTGTACTCGATGTCTCCGACCACTAGTTGCGTAGTTCTAACATACAGTCCGTGGAATAACATCTGCATCCTATCAATCAAAGTTGACAGGCCGTCTCACTCCTCGTACCGTCTCCCAAAATAGCACGCGTTGGCTTTGAGATTGTTATCAGCCCGACCCAATAAGCCACCTGTTGTGTTGCGTCAGACTGCAATACTGCGTCTCGGCTTCTCGTTCGTTATCAGATTTGTAACTAGTGGCTAGGCCTACCCTAGTCACATCCACCCCTGCCTTTTTTTGTGTGTTTTCAACCACAAACAACGCCTGGCAGGTGCACTCCTCCAAAGTCAATCGCATAATCGTAAAAAATTTTATTGTTCCACTCACTGTCCACGACGTCCCATTCGTATACGATTGACAGTTATACCTATTTCACATATCAACTGTGTCTACATCGTCTTCCTGAGACACAAAACAGTTCTAGAATTCACATCCACCCTTTTCGTTTGGTGCCTTCACCAGTTCACTTTTATAGCTTTTTGAACAGTCTGTTCTCATACCAGCGCGACCATGAAAGACTTGATGGTTGCTGACAAAAAATTTCGTCTTCCTTCTGTTCCTCAAACTTCTCCGCGGACCACTTATCTGATGGTCTACTGTCTCTCTGCTTCTGGAAGGAACGGGATCCTCTTTGTTGCCGTTATCCTCCACTTGTGTATCGCGGTTGCTCTGATGATGGTGATATGGTTCCGGGATGGGTATGTGAATTTCCGTTATAGTTTCCGGTTCCCTAATTGTCTTGGATTTCCTTGTGTGTAACTGCTCTTCTTGCCTATTCCAATATTTCTTTAATTGAGCAATGTTCGCCCACCGATCCGGTTTGGCGTGATCGATGGGTCTTATCTTAAAGGGGCCACCTGCTGCTTTAGGCATCTCCACAACTTGCCATATCTCTTGTCCCCAGAGATCGTGGATTTTGTTTCTGCCTAACGGGTGGCTACGCAGTGATACCCTGTCATTCAGTTTGAGTGGCGGGTCCTTTGTCTGTACCGGCGGTTCCCTTCGCCGTGCTTCATGTTCTAGTCTTTCCTGTACTACCCTGTACATTTCTCTAATTCTTCTCATATGTTCATTCACATA